TGGGCAGGGTGGGGGCAATTAGCCTCATTCATAAGCCCCCCTTGCTGTGCACAAGGTGCTCCATGCACAAGACCAAGGTGTCCTTGAAGCACTGCGAGCGAGAAGGGAAGCAGGTGGAGGCTCACCTAGTACAGGGCGGGGGGGGTAGTCTTGGGTAGTGGGAGCACAGTGGGATATGGGGAGAGGTGCTTCCCTTCCCCTTCATGCTTCTCCCCAGGGGAATCGAGACCACTGACCCTGTCTTAGAGGTGGGAAAACAAATTACTGTCCTAATAGGAAATATGTCAGCATTTCATATAACTGTAGAAGGAGAATCTGGCCCAATGTTTTCAAACTCATTTTTAGCAGCAGAACCATTTTTCTAAAATAAAATGTTCTGCAGAATCCTATGCTGCAAAAACATTATAACTAGGACTGTTGTGACTTCAGCGGGGACGGTTCTCCGGCCTTGGGCTACCCAGTGCACTGTGGCATCCTATGTTTCAAAGAAGTCTCCCACCTAGTCCAACCACCTTGTTTTGCAGATGGAAACATGCCCAGAAGGGATGTGGGGTTTGCCTAAAGTCATAGTGAGAGCCTGGACTCTGCCTACTCCATCAGGGGCCTCCCCAGGGTTCTCTACTGGCAAGGGCAGTTTGCTCCAGTGATGGGGTAGGTTTGGATAAGGAAGGGCCCTGGTGGCCCTCATTCTCCTGCAATGACCTATTAGAGAGATGCCACCCACTAATCCATTTGTTCCTTTAACCCATTTCTAGGTACCCCAAATTTGGGTTATCTTCATACTTGAAATGCCGCCCCCCCAATATATTTGTGTTGCTCAGAGGCAGGTAATTTGTGCCTATGTATGTTCTCAGAGAACTCTTTGCTCAGCTCCTAAAGCTTGAGCGCTGGGAAACCAGGGAATGGTAGAGGCTGCAGTGACACTGCCAGGTGTGTCTTGTACCTGTGAATAGTCCTGTACCTGAGCAAAGCACCCTAGAGCCAGGACTCCTGGTTAAAGCTGGTGGCTCTGCCCTAGAGAGCGAATGCCTCTTGAAGCTGCTTTTTACCATTGTAAAATGGAATCCTTTTCTGCCTGGGATACTGCAGGAGAAATGTACTGGGCCTGCTCTGAGTGGAGGCCTCCCCCGAGAAGAGAGAGTGACATCCTCGCAGGTATACTTGATTCTGGGAATAAACAGGGAAAACCCTAGTGACTTCGAAGCTAGCCACAAGGTTTGGAGTCTGGAAATTGAAAAGACAGATACTCCAAACCTCGTTGTATCTGCCAGACACATAATGCCATCCCATTATATCCCAAGACCCATTACACCCCAGGGCTTGTATAGGCTCTCACCCACCAAACAAGCCTGCGAGGTACACAGCATAGTATGGTGACCAGGTAACTATCCCACTGAGTGATGTAGGGTGCTATTAATAGTTATCTGGGGGGTTGTGGGAAAAGGGGTGAATGGTCACCCTATTTGTTGTACTTCATTGACAGATAAGGGTCAATCACTTGACCCAGGTCCAACGGCTAAAAGTGTGCTAGGATGTTAATGATGCTCCTTCCGGCCCCTTCCACTGTGGGTTCCCTGTATAGATGCAATGCTGGTGAATCTCATTCTTTGGCTTATGTTGCCCACCTCTGGGTTACAAGTGCGTTAGTGCTCAAGTCTGGGCAAGAGCTGTAAAAATTGACATAACATAAAGCCAGGGAATTTAAGCACCTTTTTATAGCCCTGAAGTTGCTATTAGTTTGACCAACTAATGAATAAATGAATTACAGTGGATTGCTCAAGAATTTGGGTTGTTTTAAAATTTTTATTTGATTTTAGAGAAAGGAAGGAAGGGGGGGAGGGAAAGAGATGTATTGTTCCACTTATTTATGTATTCATTGGTTGATTCTTGTATGTGCCCTGACCATGGATTGAACCCACAACCTTGGCATATTGGATTGATGCTCTAACCAACTAAGTTACCTGGCCAGGGCTTGACAATTTGTGCTTAATGTCCAATTTTTTCCTCTGGGCCTTGATGGTCTTGGTGATAGATGCTGGGATGCTCCTGCTCTTCTGCCCTGATGACCCCACTCTCTCTCCCTGCAGTTGTCTCTGGGGATGAGCACAGGGAGAAGGTTGACCTGGTCACCTACTTTGGGAAGAGACCCCCAGGCGTGCTGCACTGCACAACCAAGTTCTGTGACTATGGGAAGGCTGCCGGGGCAGATGAGTATGCCCAGCAGGATGTGAGTGCTCCTCAGGGACACTGGTGGAGGTGGGGAGGGGCAGGGTTCTGGAGGTGGGTACTGGCTTAAGGCAGGGACCAGAAACCAGATGGCAGCTCAAGAAAAATGACATCATCTGCTCCAGCTCACCCCTCTGGACCCTTTCTGGGGCCCACCTGGCAGTGCTGCCAGCTTTCGCATTTGTCCCTAGGCCTACCCACCAGTGCTGGTTTTCCTGTAGATTAATGGAGAATGCTGGTTGGGAGCAGACTCCTGCTCTGGCCTCTGTAAGCCTACGCTCAGTCCCAAAGGCTAGGAGTCCCTTGTCCCAAGGCAGCCTGGTGCTCTGAGGTTTCTGTCCTCAGGTCCGAGGCCTGGCCTTGCCCCAGAGTAGGGAGTGTCCAGGCATAGAGGCTTATTGACTTAGGGGTACCAGTTCCTTCCACACCTCACAACTGGTATCCTTGCCTACAGCCTCTGACATGGTGATCTTTGCCCAGATGTACATGGCTGTCTCCAGCCTCCTTCAGGTCGCCTTCTCAGCAAGGCTTTCCCTGACCCTCCACGCAACCCATCTCCCCCTACTTCGCTCTCTAGGTTAATGTAGCCAGTTTGCTCTCTGTGGTCAGGGAAGGCCTCCTGACCCTCGTCCCACTCAAATGGAAGCTCCCTGAGTGTGAGAATTTTTATTTGGGTTCACCTCTATTCCTAGCACCTGGCATAGCTACATGAATAAGTGTGTAACACTTTCTACTACCAACTCTAACCATTCATTTAGCAGTATGTGCTAAGCATCGTTTATGTGCTAGACACCTTTGGGACAAAGAATTGTGAACAAAAATAGAGAAGTTCTGTGGTCACATGGAAGAGATGGGCTTTCTCAGAGAATCAGATATAAACAGATATGCAGTCAGATGTAAACCAAGGTTTACAGAGATTTTGCTCAAAGGCATTTCTCACCTTGCCCTGCCCAGGATATTGCCTGGTCACCAGGGTGGTTATTGCCAGGGGAGCCTAGTAGACAGTAGCACTTGTTACTTGCCCAACACTGTTCTAAGTTCTTCACCCAGTCACTCCCTTAATCCGCACATGGAGGGGGTTCTAGTGTCATTCCCATTTTACAGGTGAATAAACCAACGTGGAGAGGTTCAACAACTTGCCCACAGCCCTGCAGCTAGTGATGGTGGACTATAGATTCTGAACTCAGGAAGTCTAGCTTTTAACCCCTGCCTCTCTGGCACCTTGGTTTTTTCACATCAGCCTCAACAGTCAGTGGAAAGACACCCCAACACCACACAGGCTGTTAGGGATGTTTGTGGGTGATGTGCCTTTACCAGAGGGCTCTGTTCGGGTGTGCTCACCTGTCAGAACCACCCTTTGCAGCTGTCTTCTCTGGAGGCCACCACCTCTAGCTTGGTCCTCATTCTCACTGTCCACAGGTGGTGAAGAAATCTTACTCCAAGGCCTTCACACTGACCATCTCTGCCCTCTTTGTGACGCCCAAGACAACGGGAGCCCAGGTGGAGCTGAGCGAGCAGGAGCTGCTGCTGTGGCCAAATGATGTGGACAAGCTGTCTCCCTCTGACAGCCTGCCCCGGGGGAGCCGCGCTCACATCACCCTAGGCTGCGCAGATGACGTGGAGGCTGTGCAGACTGGCATTGACCTCCTGGAGATTGTGCGGCAGGAGAAGGGGGGCAGCCGAGGAGAGGAGGTGGGTGAGCTAACCCGGGGCAAGCTCTTTTCCTTGGGCAATGGGCGCTGGATGCTGAATCTGACCAAGAACCTGAAGGTTAAGGCCATCTTCACGGGCTACTATGGGAAGGGCAAACCTGTGCCCACACATGGCAGTCGCAAGGGGGGTGTTTTTCAGTCCTGCACCATCAACTGAGTGTTCTTACCACCCCTTGTGTGCTCCTCTTTAGAAGGGAAGGGGGTATAGAAGGAAGCATGTCCTCTGCTTGATCTTTAAGATTTTTTTATTCAGTTAACCTTGTAACTTTTAAAAAACTTGTAAAGTAACTGCCCCTCTTTTTCTGTCTACCCTCTTCCTAACACTCAAGCTCTCAACATAAAGGGGTGGGGGCAGGTACCATTCAGGAATCTGGACCAGAGCTGATAAGGCTGGGCAGAGCTGGGCCTGGAGCCACAGCCACAACCGTGAGCCCTGTTTTCAGTTACTGATGCCCCCAGCCCAGGTCCACAGCCCTGCCCAGAGCTCACTAGTGGGAGAGAGATGTCAGGGCTCCATGTCCCTATAGCCCTGAAGCACTGGTAGGTGTGAGAGGGGAGGATCCCTGGGCTTTGATCCTATTTCTTAATCAGTGTAGCCTCAGGAAGACTGAGGCTATTTACCAGGGTAGAAAAGGGTTTACCTCGCACCTTGGGGTCCTAAGTGCCTGTCCCTTCCTTCTTCACACTTTAACTAGGTAACAGTTTGATAACTAGGGAAGAAAGCAGAACAGTAAGCAGCAGCCACACCCCAGGGCCTCACCCCAGAAGGGGATGGGGTGGCCATCCTTTCTGGTGGTGTGGCTCTGCTGTATGGATAGGAGACCTAAGCCAGAGACAGTGCTTGGTGGGGAAGCTCCAGTCTTGCAGTCTGCCCAGCCCACCTTGCCCTCCTTGGTGCCTCTGGAGGCCTCTTGTGCCTCCTCTAAAGGGGGCTGGTGGGTACTAAGAGCCAATGGAGTGGACTCCTGGCTGTTAAGGGCTAAGCCCCACCTGGTGCCTTTGAGAGGGGTTTTTAACACTGCTACATGGGCTGTGGTTTCTGGGGTGCCCTCCACTACCCTCTGCTCAGTAACAGGGCCTTGCTAATTAGGTTGTCACCTGACAAAAGTGCTTGGGATTTGAGTTACCATCCTGGCTTTGCCCAACCTCAGCAACTTGTAATACTGATAATGAAATAAATCATGTTAATCCTAGCTGTGTACAGTCTCTCTCACCCTTCTGTGCCCAGCTTATCATCCCTGGGGTGAGGGCTGGGTGTGTTAGGACTGGCTTTGTCCCACAGCTTGGGGCCATCGGTCCTGTCTCCCCGCTGCTGGCTGGGCACAGCTGTGACAAGGCTGGGCAGCTGAACAGTGTTGGCTTTCATGAGGAGGCAGAAAGGGGAGGCTGGTCTTAGACACACACAAAAAGTGGGGGTTGGCTGGGTATGAGGGAAATAGAGCACAGAGCCTCTCATCCCCTATTAACTACTAAAACAGGCCCACAGGTGTACCCAGCCCCATCCAATCAAGAAAGACTTCTCACAGAGGCAAGACCCCAAACTCCTACTATGGATTTCCCCAGTTCTCTTGGGAAGGCCACCCTCAGGTCAGTGCTGCCTCAAACACAAAGGAAAGCCTGACATTTAGAGTCTCTTCCAGCCAACAAGGGCCTGGACAGCTACATAGGGAACTTCTAGGCCTCAGTCTTCACTTCACCATGGCCTTCACCAAAGGGGGAAGACTATAAAGAACAGGGCAGGGGCTCTGAAGGAAGAGAAATCATGTTATCTGTTTGGTCCAAGGTCTGTCCCACCATCTCTACCACCAAAGCACCAAAAACCTAACCAAAGCCTGTAGTGCCTGCCTGGAAATCTCAACAAGATTCCTCACCACAAACACTAATCCTGAGCTGACCAGTATGACATATGTCATGGCTTCCTTCCCCAGCTTGCCTCCATGCAGAAAGGGAAACCAGTGGAGAAGTGAGAGCACTTGCTAAGAATGGTGTTTCCCCGTGTGGACTAATGTCAGCAACCAGACAGACCCCTGGGCCCGGGAGCTGCCTGTCTCACTGGGAAAGGGCCTTGGGGTCGGAGAGGCAGGATTTTACCTTGTCTCCATCTCCCTCAAGTCTGCAAAAGTAACTGAGAGAGTCTGTGTAAACCTCCTGTCTAGGTTAGCCTGGCCTGACACATATCCATCCATGCTCTATGTGAGCTTTGGATACACATAGCTTCTAGTGATTTCTCGTGGCCCCCACCATAAGCTAAGCATGTTTTCTGAACTCAATTCCCTATAACTGACATCAGATGGGGCCCAGCAGACTATCCAGCACCTGCTCAGCACTGACATGCTAAACAGATTTGAGAGTGGCAGCCAGCACCCCACCTGCCACCAGGCTCTGGGTGCCCACACCCCTGTGGGGCAGCCTGCTGATCCTAAAGTCCATGTCAGCATCAGTTCTGTGCCCTGGGCTCAGCTCTGGCGCACTGATAGTGCAGCTGCCAGAGAAAAGTGCCAGAAAGGGTCAAAACATTTTATCCTCTTAACTTTTTTTTTTAATAAAGTTAAACAGTAAAACAAAAATTCACAAGCTGCCTCCCTGTTCACCCCCCCCCCGCCTCCCTCCCCTACCCGCAGTCTTCGGCGCTGGCTCCCTTTCCTTCACCCCACTCACAGACACAGGGCATCCAACTGAGAAAACGAAACTGCTCTAAGTACATGGAGACATGATGAAGAGAGGAGGTGAATTGTGTCCACATTCAAGGTTAAACTGAGCAAGTCAGCATTTTCTGGGTTCTGGATGGTTTCCTTTCATTAGCCAAATTGAAAAAAGAAATTCCCTGGACCAGATGCTGTAAAGGAAAGAAGGGCTGGTTAGTTGACTCTGGGTTTTCTAGGAAAGATCACTTTGCTCTGATTATGGAAGTCTCCAAGGGCTGCTTCAACGTCAGAGAAGCAGCTCTAAAGGTATCAAACAGCCTAGACCCTGGGTGTAAAGGTAGCTTCTAACACCTTCCCTTGTGCAAACAAGCCCTGGTATTAGGCAGCTTAGCGATGCCTACCTGACCCTGTGGAGGTGTGGCTATAATGGTCCCAAGGTAAGGTGTGCCCAGAAAGCTCCCTCTGCCACCCTCAGCAACACCTGAATAGACCGAAGCCCTACCTAGGTAAGAATTCAGCTGCCTCCAGTCATGAGACCCCTTGATCAAAGAGCTGCCTAACTGGGTGAGTCACTGTGTCAGCTTGTGATCTGGGAACTCCCAAGAACAGCAGGCATACCCACCTTCAAAGCTGAAGCCCCCAGGACCACCAAAGAATGCCTTGAAGATATTGTTTGCATCAAATTCTGTGGAGCAAGGTGAGAACAGAGAAAAAGGTGAAAAAAAGTGTTTGAAGGGGAACATTATGACAGAATAGGTCGGGTCTCCAAAGCTTTCTCAGATAGTATCATTTCCCTTGGTTCCCAAAACTTTAGACTAGAGGTGAGCAAATCTGCCCCACCCTATGCATACCTTACCACTTGATCCCATTCCTGAGCTATGTTCCTTTCTCTTCCCAAGTGCAGTCCCAAAGGAGAGCATTCTTTGCCTCAACCCAGTTTGCTGGCCCTCTCTTCTCCACAGCTGGGAATGCCAATTGCAATTATTGACAGACTTTCCCCACACTGTCTCCCTATACTGCTGGGGCTGCTACTGAAAAGGCTAAAGTTTATCACCTACACACTATCAAGAGAAAATAATATAAAACCTATGAGTTATTGTATCTGTTTGATTTTATGCTGTCTACACTGTATTCCAGAAAACTTGTGGTTTATTAAAGCACCTACTAGGTGCCAATCATGGCGCTGGGTACTTTGCATACATGATACCATTTAATCCTAATAACAGTTTGTCAGGGTAAGTCCTGTTACCAATTTATACTCAACGAAACATAAGTAGGGAGCTCAAGTAATTTGCCCAAGATCATGTGGACAATAAAAGCAAAATAACTGAAAATTACAACTTCTGTCTGACTCTAGCACTGTTCCCTTGTCACATGACCACAGCAGGTCTGATGCCCTCAACCCCTGCCTGACCTGCTAAGCTGCACAGAAAGATTTATCTCCACCAGTGAATCCCACAGGCACACAGTGTCCAAAAGTGAATTCTGTGCCAGCACATCTGTTCATCTTCCTGGGTCCCCTGGCTCAGTGAATGGCCCCATTGAGTCTGCTATGCCAAAGCCACTTTCAATTTGGTCCTTCCTCTCTCCCAACACATTCAGTAACCAACTCCTGCTGAGTCCACCACTATCTCTCAACTGTGCCCTCCAGTCCTTTCCTATCTACTTACTGTCTTCCCTCCACTATCCTCTCCTTCCAAACCACCTCTCTTTGCTGCCATCACACATGTATTTCTAGAGCCTAAATCTTGTCCACAGCTCTTCTACTTAGAACACTTCAATAGCTTTTGATGGATTATAGCTCTTCTCAAATGCTGGGCAGAGCAATATTTATAATCCTATGTTTCTTTCTCTCGCTGAACTGGAGAGGTCAGGATTATTTATGTATCGTTATCAATTTTAATTTAACTTCCAACAGATTTTCTTAGTGGAGGAGAAGGGGTTGGCAGTAGAGACAGTGGTCTGAGAAGTGGGCACAGTTCAAGGCTTCTTTTATTTCTAAGCTCACAGAGAAAAATGATGCTGACAGCTGTGCTTTACATCATTTTAAGTCTTGGGGAAATTAAAATCTGTGAGGGCTTACAGGAATGTATGACGGACATAAATATCAGCACACACTTTGCAGTGGGGGAAAAAAGAACTTCCAGCCAATAGGAAAAGCCCATATTCCTTACTCCAGCCCCTAAGGCCTTCTGACGTCTGCTCTAGCTACTTTCTGGTCTTCTTTCTCCCCACTGCCCACCTCGAGCACCCTCTATCCTACAGAACCCCTTGCAGCTCCCAAGGGTGTTTTGCTTTTCTGCATTTCCATGCCTTCCCTTGCTATTGCTTACTCCTTGGTGCACTTTGCACTCTGGGCACCTGCTACACATTGCACTCACTGGATTCCATGTCTATTAGATCAGGGGTCATATTTAGTCTGTGGGCAGAAGTTTGCAAACCTCTAGACTTGGTTCCTGGAGGTCAGGGAATCTGTTTGATTCATCTTTGTTATTTCTAGCACCCAACACGCTACCTCATGTCAGAGGTCTTCATCAAGGGTATGCTTTAGGAACCACTGCACGTCACTGGCTAATTACACAGATTCTCCCTCTGAGTACCTTTAGAAAAGACACTAAAGTTCTACAGCTGTCACAGTCACTGCAGGTCGCCCCAAACAACTCACCACTCATATTCATGCCCTCCTCATCCAGGTCCTGCCCACTGTCATAGCGGGTCTTTTTCTTGGGATCAGAGAGGATGGTGAAAGCTTCCCCGACTTCCTTGAACTTTTTCTCCTCCTCCTTCTGCACTTCAGCACTGGCTCCACTGTGCCGATCTAAAGGGAGTACAGGAAACTTGTCTCAGAAAAAAGTTTACAAGAAAGACCACTTTATACCTGACTTTAGAATTTACTACTTCCCAAAATTTGGAGGGTACTGAACTTAGCCACACCTTCTTCCCAGAGCAGAGCCTGAGGCTCTCATTCTGGACTGAGTTCGGCAGTGGGCCAGCCTGGCATGTTCTTCCCACAGGGTCGCTTCCCCCACCACTCTACCTGGATGGTGCATCAAGGCCCGTTTCCGATAAGCTTTCTTGATCTCATCCTCAGAGGCATTCTTGTCCACTCCCAGAATCTTGTAGTAATCTTTCCTCTTACTTTTCTTCAGTTCCAGCTGTGCATTTTTAAGGAGTTGTTTGTGTTCTAGAGGGAGACATCTAGCATCAAGGACAAATCTGATTCTGGCTTCCCTTACCAGGTCCCAGCCCAGATGCCTTGGAGTCAGAAGCCTTGTTAACTATACCAGGCATTTATGGTGTGTTTTACCCCTAGAGATTAAAAAAAACCCTACTCATACTTAGGGTTCCTCACATAAAAAGGAAATGAAAGTAACAGGGAAGATTTGGAACCAGAAAATAGGTGCCTCGTTCTGCACTCAGGATTTCTGCTCACTTCCTCCTGGCTGCTGATCAAATAAGCTAGAGCTACAATCCTGATCCCTGAATCAAATTACTCCTGTGTCCAGTTTTAGGGCCTACAAGAAAGGCAAGTTTCCTAAGAAGCATGC